GTGAATTCCATGACATTGAAGGATTAATGTTGACTCCCAGATAGGTTACATTTGGAAACGCCCTCTATCGGCGAGTTGTCGAGTTCTAGGCAACCATCAAATTGGACGTTTTTTTAAGCTGGTTTTATTATCATGTAGTTGTATCATGTAGAGATGACGTAGTGTCGTTTATATTGACTTTTTGGTACCGACTATCTAAATAACTTTGAAACCACTGAAGTGGGAGACCCCTAACCCCATAATGTTCAAGTTTGCGAAGCAAAAAAGCATGGTATATGCTATCAAATGCTTTTTTAAGTCAATGAAGATGCCAAATGTGACATAGCCTTTGTCCATATTTTCCATAATATAGTAATCAATTTCAATTTTGTTTCAATCACCTTGTAGGACCCATGATGAAGGATCTCCACAATTGTAAGAGAATGCAATTTACATTTTTTTATCACTTTTAGTTCTCTAGATATTCAACTTTTCATCAGTATTATGTAGTCCGCCATAATGGAGACAGATTTATTTGTCGGAGTTTCAGAATATGTCGTTGTATTCGTTTAATAATACTATTAATTACTATTATTCTCATATGCATGTCATTCCGCTATAGTAGTTAATTCGTTTATCTATTCGTATGAAGGATTCTTCTGAATAATTCTTTAACAATGAGAAACATTTAATTTCAGTCAATGAACGCTTAGATATTTTTTACCAATAATCTTACTCGTTATTGTATACTTTTTCTCCCACGTAATTTACTCATTTGTATTTCCCGCCTACATGTTTTCACCCACGTTCTCTCTGGTCACTCGCGCCCTCTCGTGGCGTGGTGCAGTGAAAATGGGTGTTATACGCACAATATTTACAAAATATTTGCCGAAAATATGAATATTTAATCAGTAAGCACAATATCACAAGTTTAAGTTACACCTTACACCAATCTCCCAGGCAGAGTTCTATTTCGACGAATACTTTCGGTGATCTTACCGCAAGGAACTCTGGGAAGGAGAATGAAGTTGCGAGTGCAACTTTCAAGTTGAAGTGTTCGACATCTGGACGGATTCAGAGAAAACTGTCACCCAAATTGTCACACACCAGCTTTCAAAATAAGTCTGCACATTGTTAGTAATAATGAGAATAATATAATTTGTTCACGTTATCATGTAGCATATAATCGGGACTGAGATCGAGTTTTTTAGGCACGTGCCGACTCGGCCCCGTCCATTCACACACAAGTTTACCGAGTCGTCACGTGCCGAGATCTCTAACGTGAACGCCACTGTTGTGAAAGCTAAGGGGCTTGGAGCTCGTATAAACATAAAGTTAGGGTGTACACACGAGTGTAATGGCGACGTGCGTCGTAACGTGATTTTGAAGAGAAGAGACCCAATGCGTTAATTTATAAGAGATAATTTATGATTTTGGTAATTTTGTTAAAATAATTATCAAATCTCTCTTCAATATTGTTGTTGGACAAAATGGAACGTTTTCTGAGCACCATCCGCCTCAGTGCAAACTCCAGGCGAGTGCAACAGCTATTGGCTACGAAGTCGACTTCGAGTCTTCCTTGGCAAGGTCGATCGTTGTCTTTTACCTGTTTGTGTAAAACACAGGACAGAATTGCAAGCAGCTCACAGGTATGAATGAATCATGTGCTAACAATTGTTGTATCAACGAGTCAAATTGTGAACAACTGAGAACGAAATCACCTGGCAAGGTTCGCTGTTGAACTTTATCTGAACCCCTTCAAAACAATTTTGTTGGTTGGCAAATTCAGTTGCTGAGTCATAACGTATCAAAAAGTCATTGTAAATAATTGATTATTTTTGAGCATTTAAATAACTTTGTTTGATTTGAATGAAGACATTCATCATTTGCCTCAAAATATACGTGTTTGGCTATTAAAATAAAAACAAGGGGGTTTTATTCTAATAATAGATATGTTCTTTTTTAATAATGTAGTTTTTCATTACTCGTATGTAATGTTTGTTTCTGTCTGAGTCTGTATTTTATGTTTTGTCTCTACCATACAGAACCTCAGGTGGTACTTGTTATTAATAATAATTAATAATAAAGTTATTATTATTAACTTAATGAAATACTGTAAACAACAAGTTTTTAACTACCTGTATGTTTAGGTAATACACAACCACTAATACCTGGGATTGGTTAGTCAAACCTTGAGAATATTTTTAATGATGCCTGCAATTGTAATTTGTATTTGGTCAATAAATTAAAGCGAGAGGGTCGTCACCTTCATATCAGAATTGAGTCCCAAGCAACGATAACAACACACGCTAAAAATGCAAAGGCTCATGGGTAGCACTTTGTAAACAATGCCACGCTATGGCCATCTGACACATGTGCAGGTTTAAGACTACTCCCAAATTTAGGTATTACAGTTATATTGTTGACAATATTTAGTTGAAAGCTCTTCAACTACTGACCACAAATCAAATCTTAAATTTATATTTATATACTTTTACAAAATCCTGCGTTATGTGTGGAATCCAATCAATATAAAACAGAACAAGCAAAGTTTGTAGCATTATAATGGTGACAAATCATACTTCTACCTTCTTTATAAAAACATGTTATAACAACCACATTATTTTTTTATTATTCACTGACAGTCAAATTATGATTGTGCTAGATACTCATAAATCATCTAAAAATTTTTAGTTTATGTGAGATATATTAATAATAAATTGAAAGGCAATCACATTGTAATCGTCTATTTATATTCAACATGACTGAGTCCCCCACTTTTAGTTTTAGTTTGACGTCTGGCCCGTCTCCTATGGAGGTTGGTTTGATCCAACTTGTCCCGTTTGTATTGAGTAAAAATTTCAAAATTGCTATGATTTGCTGAGACATCGGTGTATAGATATCACAGTTTTGAGTATTTATAAAAATCATATTTTTTGTTACAATGCTCTATGCCCATACCTCCAAGTCTATCATTAAAAATGCAGTTCTATTATTTTTATATAATTTTTGTTTGATATTTTATTAATTTATTAAAATATATAAATGCTTGAATTCAACAATCTATTTCTTACCTGAATTAAAATATCAAAGATAAAGCTTAAAACATAAAATTCCCTCTTTTAAATTAATAATTTATTTCATTAAAACTGTTTAATACTAAATTGATGAAAAAACATAAATACACAAAGTTTGTGCTGGGAACTTTGACCCACGACAATGTACATTGATTTGTTAAAGCAACATTTTTATTTTTAATATAACATTTCCTGTCCTTAGTGTCAATTTTTAACGACCATCGTCGAAATGATGACACGTACTTGTACATTGAATCACATCTAATATCTAGGTCTATAGAGGGCGCTATATATTGAAGTCCAATTTTGTCAAGATGACATCTTACCAGGGGCCCTAGGCGAAATGTCAAATACGTTAATATCTTGAGGGGCTAAGCCTCTCTGTGACGGCCTTCCACTAATAATTTTATGTGTGACTTCCCATAATAGTGTGCACCATGTGTCATAATTTTCTATGGTCCCCACCATGTGACCAATTTTAATGAAATAGCGAGTACTCAACCCTTATTTTTCACATCGTGTTTTATGTAATATTAGTCTTGTATAGGGTCACTTTACCCATACAGTTGTTTCTAAAACAATATTTCAGTAAGATTCTTTTTTATGTGGTTATATTTAAATGAAAAAAAAATGAAAAATCATATTCATTATACTTTAGCATATTGTTTGTGTCACACGCAACGTAATATTACCGTAATTGGTATAGTACAGGTGTGATGGTTCAAATACCAAAATGGCAACAGTAACAGAAAGACTTCCCTGGCGGCGATGATAAAACACGAACACGGAGCCAACAGATGAGGTTTCAACTGGTACTGGTATTATTATACTCTGCAAACATCAAGTACAATAACGTGGTAAAACTCCACTACTCCAATAACTAGATACTTAAACTCCAATACAATTCAACGAGATCTCCGATCTGATCTCAGTGCTGAACAACTCCCCTATATATACCCACACTGTCTATAAATAGACCATTACATCAGCATACATAATGAGTCTGGAACTTACTACAAATTTCTAGAATGTTCCATTACCTTCTATTGCCTCCTACAGTGTTCTATTACCTATTCAACCAGTTTCTAAAAACTCCACCCAGACACAGTATGGTTCTAGAACATTCTCAGTGACACGGAAGTGGTAAACAAGTCGTATGCGACAGTTTGTTACAGTGTTTATTATGTTTGTGTTTTGTCTTTAAGAAGGAAGACATGGTGAATGTCTCGAGAACAAGTAATCAGCCGATAATGTCATATTTATCGACAAGACTTTATACAACGGAAGGCAAACCCAGTGGTGATGGAACGAAAGATAAAGAGAGAGAAAAAAGTGTAAGTATTATGAAATTTACTCAAAACATTGCTTGCTAAAAACCTCTACAGACATAGGGAACAATCAATGGGAACAAAGGCAATGTGTTAACTGAGCATAGGCTCATTTGACTGGTAGTTTTTTATCCATGTTTGATGAAGGGCGCCCTCATTACAATGGTGTTTAAAATAACACTTCTTTTGTTTGATCTTGCACCCTATGTTTGCTGAAGGTCTTGCACCCTATTGATAGTAAATTGAGGACACAATATTAATCAGTATGTCTAAATTTCTGTGTTTTACTGTTTGTTTAATTGGGATTAAATTACAGAAGGCAAATGGAGATCTAACACTAGGGGCGCTAGACATCAGATGCCAAGTTGGAAGGCATTCAGGTAATTGCTGCTTTAAAGAATGAATACAAATGTTTTTTGAATAAAATGCATTTTCTTTCTTAATAAATTTTGATTTTGTTACTGTTGTAGCCGGTTACGTGGAAGTCATTGCTGGTTACATTTGGTGTGGGTGCTGCGCTGTTATTGGGGATGAAATATGTCAAGAAAGAAAAAGAAATAGGTAAACTATTATAAAAGTGATTTGAACAATGTACATTCAATGTATTGTAAACCTACAAGGTGTACTTAAACTAATCTGCTTTCATCAAACACTTTATTCATTTGTTTGTTGCAGCTCTCTATTTCAAGGGTTAACTATTCAAGGTAGCAACAGGGGTAAAACATCCTAAAAATTGTTCTGTGATTCAGACAATCTCCCAAAGTTACTAAGCATACAATACATTATCTGACTGCTTAGATATAGACAAATTAGGTAGTACATATGCAGTGTATCAATGTGTGTTTAATAGACTACCTTATGACAAATACTGATATTCTTCTTTTTTTTGACCACATAAACTACTGTAAAATCTGTATTGAAAGCTGTGACTTCTATTAAAATGGTACAATGCAACAGAGGGGGTGCGACTTCTATTAGAGCATCTACACATGTGAGAAATGGTGAATTTGGGGTCTCAATTGTTCAAAAAGAATGGGTGCGGCTTCTATAAGGGATGCGGTTCTAATACAGATTTTACGGTACTGTATATCACTAGTTTTTTAACACTTGTAGTCACGTTAATGACAAGTGAATTGCATAGGACGTTCATAGCACTCTAGACTGGAAGAGTGCGTCTCGGCTTAATCTTTATCTGCATTAGTTATTCCGCTACGACAAAGTAACTACAGACATGCTACTGACAATTGAAATTAATCATCAGATAATTCCTTAGGCAAACACTGGTACAGCATATCCAAGCTTTCAAATGATGTAGAACACCATTTGTATGAGGAATGATTCCGTGTAGCTCGATCGCATACATTTATTTTGTATAAAGATCATATACCATATATGCTCCATTAGAAGAGCATCTCCATTAGAAGCACATGTATGTCAACAATTGCATTGATTGTATACTGATTTATTAAAATATGATGTATTTTGACCATAGAAACACCTCTGTTATTTACATAGCATGTGCTACTAATAGAGCAAATACGGTAGTACAAGTGTTCGTAATTTCTCATAATTGTGTAGCCCTGCCAGATTATTAGTCCCCGTTTGGACGAAGTCCGAAAACGGGGACTTATAATTCGGTCTGCGTCTGTGCGTCCGTCCGGAGTCATATCTCAGAATCCCTTGGACCGATTCTGTTCATTCTTTGCATGTGCCTAGTACCTTATGTGGGAAATATGCACATGCAGTGGTTTAGCGACTCGATTCAAAATGGCCAACTAGCAGCCATCTTGTTTTTTGAAAATGTTGTATTTTGGACATGCTTTGTCAGTTGTCATTCAAACTTGATACATAGATTATACATGTTAGGATACATGTTCATGACGATTTATTTCACAATTGGATCAAAGATGGTCAACTGGCAGGCATCTTGTTTTTTGTTTTTTTTATGCGGTGCTCTGTCAGTTTTCATTCAAATTTGGCACATACATGTACTTTATACATGTTAGGATGCATGTCCATGAAAATTTGTTTCAAAATCTGGTCAAGGATGGCCGATTGTCAGCCATCTGACTTTTTGGCCTTACTACTATATTTCCACAATTTATGTACCATTTTCATTTGTATTAGTACATACATCATGCATATTAGTGTGTTTCATAATCCGTGAGTTCCTGAGTCAGTTCGTTCGTCCGTGTGTCCGTACGTCACTCTGTCTAGAGTCATTTTTCAGAATCCTGTGGACTGATTCCGTTCATTCTTTGCATGTGCCTAGTACCTTATCTGGGAAATATGCACATGCAGTGGTTTAGCGATTCGATTCAAAATGGCCAACTAGCAGCCATCTTGTTTTTTGAAAATGTTGTATTTTGGACATGCTTTGTCAGTTGTCATTCAAACTTGGCACATAGATTATACATGTTAAGATACATGTTCATGACGATTTATTTCACAATTGGATCAAAGATGGTCAACTGGCAGGCATCTTGTTTTTTGTTTTTTTTTATGCGGTGCTCTGTCAGTTTTCATTTAAATTTGGCACATACATGTACTTTATACATGTTAGGATGCATGTCCATGACAATTTGTTTCAAAATCTGGTCAAGGATGGCCGATTGTCAGCCATCTGACTTTTTGGCCTTACTACTATATTTCCACAATTTATGTACCATTTTCATTTGTATTAGCACATACATCATACATATTAGTGTGTTTCATAATCAGATCAAAGATGGACGAATAACGGCTGTTTTTATTTTTGACCATATTACTACTACACGAACAAGTGTTTTGATGTAAATAAACAATCTGTTGTATACGCCACTTGGAAGTCAAGTTTCAAGGACAGGCTCGTGA